TGGAGGCTCAACTTCTATCTCTTCCACCTTCACTCCCTCTCCTATTCCCCAACATACGGCACCTATATATACAACCACAATACAAACCGAAAATTGCCTGAGTAAATCTAATCTGAACAGTCGAAATTTGATACACACACATAATCATAGGAAGATATGAATAAATATAAAATTGATGCCTTTGCAAGTGATAGCCTGTGGTGAGTTGCTCATTGGCAGAGTCTCTGTGAAGATAATTAATACAGAATTTGACTGATGAGAAGAGGAGGAGGAGGACGAAGAAGAGAAAGAGAAGGAGCTAGAGTGACGGTATGGAGAATTCCAACTCCTATATGTGTGTGTGTGTAACGGATGAACTTATGACAAAAATAAATAAGTATATGACGATTGTAGGTTTACAACTTGAAGTTCGGCCGGCTGCTATTTCCGTATAATTAAATGAAGCTCACTTTGGCTTGTCCTTCTTTTTTTTTTTAATAAATCAATTGCTTTCACATGTCATTATTACAAGATGAAACAAATTTTTGAATACCACCTACAGTTCTAATTATAAAATTTCGTTTGTAGATTATAAATGAAACCTTATAATTAGGACCGGAAGTAGTACTATTTTTTTGGAATGATATATATTATAAGCAATAATAATGCAAATTAACTAAGTCATGCCTAACCATATTTGCCGTGATAAGGTAAAATAGTTTGTCATTATAAAATTTATTAATTTGTTATTCATTTGATTTTTTTCAAACTTGTGTATAAATTTTTATATCGATGTATGTGCGCAATGAAAAGAACCGATTATTTAATTGTTGGTAGATCGATCGCGGCTTTCCCGACGAGTTTAAGGTAAACATGACTTTGAATTGAGCTAAATTTTTTAATAATATATAGGTAATTTTTTTTCCTATATGTCATTCTAAATCAGAAACAGAATCAAAAAGCTAGTAATCCACTTCATTCAACAGGACACAATAATATTTTTTTTCCCCTGACCTTTCAAGACATATATGTTTTATAAGAACAATTTTATTGTCCATATGATGTGTTGAATCAACAATTAAAGATATCGATAATTTTTAATGATGTAACTTCAACCACCCCTTGAGTATTATGAAACGACATGGACTGGAAAAAAAAAAAGAAAGATATAACTTTATTTTATAGATAGTGGATATGTAGTTGGAGGAAATTGTTTTGGAATATAATCAACCATTATTGGATTGCTGTGGTTGAGTGGTAATAAATAATAATTATATTTTTGTCTTGTAATCTTATAGCTAGAGCCACTTTAATATTTTTCTCTTTTCCATTTAAATCTCAGAAAGACTTGGTAATGTGAGAGAATTCAAACTTTTAAATTGAAAGTAAAAAATCATTTTGAATTCTTGTCATCATGTCAACTTTTAAATTCTCGTCATTATGTCAATTTTTATTAAAGAACTAATTTTCTGGTCCTATAATTTATAATCTTTTCCGTGAACTAATTTATCTTACTTTTTAATTAATCCTAATGATTTAATGTTTAAAACCATCTATATAATCGTTGGGCCAAAAAATCATCTATATAATCTTCAACTGTTTAGAGCCTGTCCTTACATTTCCTAACCACTTTTTTTCCCCTTATAGGTATTATTCTATTAGAAGCAAAGATATTCGAGGTACTATTTGGCACTAAATGTGAGTATCTTTTCTAGTAGGGATTCGAACTTTTATTCGCCATGTTGTGAGGGATTAGCTCTTTTTACTAGACCCAACCCTTATTAGTAACCATTAAATATACTCTCTCCCTCTCTCACACACACTATGTATATGGGCTGATAGAAATTGTTGGAAAAAGAAGACTCTTGTGAGATTAGTTAAGAATTAAGAAGACGAAAATGGCCGCACAAGGACTTCATTTCAGATTATTGGAGGCCCAAAATAAACCTATAACAAACAGCACCAATTCCACCCAATATTTATGGGCCAAGCCTGTAGTTTCAATGTAAGCCAGAGGGGTTGAAATAGCATGGTATTAAGGCCTAAGTCGAGGCCTATTTGTTGGTGACTATTTCGTTTACCAAATTGCCTAAGGCACCAACAAGAGTTGGTCCACTTGGTAAGAAGTTGGCTCATAACTTACAAGATCGTGAGTTTGAATCCCGCTGCTGATGTGAGAATCTTGTTGGTGAGCTATCTATAAGTACCTCTGTAAACACTTTCTAATCCTGGAGGCATGCCCTAGTCTTGATGAGCCCCCCGGACCCAACTCACCTAAACTTTTTGTAACAAAAAAAAAATTGCCTAAGGCAAAGATGCGCAGGGTAATTACAGTGCGTCCACCAGAAGTTGCATGCAGAAGGATTCCATTGTACTCGTATAACGATAACATACAAGGTCCCCTATCTTTCTTTTGAAGGAGTTATGAGATAAGGAGGTCTACTATAGGGCAATGTAATATTGCGAAGAAGGGAGTGATTACCCCGAGGGGAGTTAATATTATTGGACTTTATAATTTGACTTAATTTTAGTTTTGATCCTGTAATTTTAAATTGATGATTTTTGTTACTATTATTTTACAAGAACTTGTTAATGGTTGCCGATGGTGTCTAGTGACATAAAAGCTTTTTAAGGAAAAAAAAATTATGCAAGTTGGGTCATAAAGATTTATCAGAGTTAAGGCATGCTTCCAAACTCAAAGAATACTTATAAAGATATTTATAGATTGCCCATCAACAAGGTTTTCATATTAACAAATGGGATTTGAATTCACAATCTTATAGCTTATGAGCCACTTTTTTACTAACTGAACCAATTTTTATGAGCAGTTTAGAGAATTTCTTTTCAAATTCGGCAATAAGGACTTTGATAGTCTATTATCAGAAAGTATATTAAAAAAATTCCACTTGGCCAAGAACAAAATATTATTCTTTTAATTAATTACAGTCTTTTTGGCCAAAAAAATTAATTACAGTCTAGAACTAGATATAATAGTTGGCAAAAAAAAAATCTAGACATAATGGAAAACAAGGAGAGTTAGAGCTATATGAAAAAAAAAAAAGAGAAAATCACAAATAAAGACCCTTGAATTAGTTAAATTACAATATGGTCACCTGAATAAGCCAAATTATCATGAGGGACCTGGTCTCCAATTGCAAATAGCAAATGTTGGTGAAAAGATGAAATTGCCCCTTAGTAATTTGAATGAGCTGAAACCGTGACATGTAGTCCCCCCACTATTGACAACTTCCCACTGTTCTCTGCATTCTCCCAATTTTCTCCATTGTTGCGCACTTGCTTGTTGCCATTTTGCTGTAAGAGTAGTATGGAGAGGAGTGTTGCAACCACAAAGACCATATTTGGTGTGACAGAGGTGAACAAAACTGTGGTTTATCGGCATTGTTGAAGGGTTGAAGGCATCACTGAACAGTGCGACAGCAATCGCTTTAGGTGATTAGAGTTAGCAGCTACATTGGGCTAGTGATTGTGGTAAGTTTGGTGGCTAATTTTGTTTGGATTGGTTATTGCAAGAATGTGCGAATCATTGGCGAGAGTAAAAGAGTCTAGGGCAAGAAAGGAGAAGTATCCAAATTTTGATTGAGTGATTAAGAATGTTTTACTGTGAAAAATATATGTTTTTTTTCTGTTAAATGACTTGTGGGAATGGTATTTGTGTGGGGAGGGAATGACAATATCAGTTTCATAAATAACAATAATAGTAGGGAAATTAACGACATAGGATATGGTTAAGGGTAAATTAAATTGAAGAGGTACTAAGTGTGTTTTGTTGTAAATGAGAAGATGGATGGTGGGATTTGATAAGTTCAATAATGAAAATAACAATTTGAGAATAGCAAATGACAAGTTGTTGATTAATTGGGAATAAGAAGATGTTAATGCGATGTTGACTAGTTGGTAATGGGAAATAACAAAATTTGTATGCGGAAGTAGATGTTGATAATAAGAAATCACTTGTTTGAATAGCAAAGCTGAGTATGACAATTTGATAAGTTTATCATTTTAAATGACAAGTTAATAACTTTAAATGACTAGTGTATGATCAGAAATAACAATTGTGATAAGTATGTGAGAATAACAAGTTGAGCTTAAAGATTTGACAACTTTTGTAGAGAAAATAACAAGTTTATCATAGGCATTTGATTGAAGAACGAGTGTTGACAAAATTGTTGTTAGTCAGTTAATAAGTTATGTTAGTGAAATATTGTATGTTGAATATTCTGCAAGAAAAAGGATATGGCATCTCAGGGAGCCTCCGGATCAAAACTGGCACACAATGGCTAGTTGCTATTTAGAAGGGAGTATTTGGCTACATTAGGTGACAATGATATCAGAGGCAAACAAAAAAAAGACGTTGTGTCAAAGGCATGCAGAGCTTTTTCTGATGAGGAGAGAAAGAGGTACACAGAAGAGGCGAAAAAAAGAAGGCCAGAAAAGATTGAAGAGGAGAAAAAGAAGAAATATGTACCATCATTTTTAACCCAAGTGTCCATGAAAGGTTTTAAGAAATTACTGCACTTTACAAATAATAATGATGAGTTAAGGGATAAGGTGGAGAGGATAGGATTTGGAAGCTTAAATTGAAGAGACTCCCTCGTGATCTCATTGTGACTATGCTAAGATCATATGACCCACCAACACATCAATTTACAATTTGGGAAAAAATTGAGGAAATAGGAGCAAAACATGTTGAGAAGCTCCTAGGAATGCGTCGTGGTGGGGAAAAGATTAAAATTGAAGTTTTGGAGGATGAAAAAATGTACAAGAACTTGAAGATTGAGTATTAGAGAGTGCCATTCAGCAAAATACTGAATGACATTATTTATGGGGAGGAGGATCACATACTTGAATTCTTGTTTTTCTTATACACGCTGGGTACCTTTCTATGTCCATCATCTAGCTCAAAAGTGAGTGAGAGGCTGGGGAGAGTCATGTGTTCCATGATGGATGACTTTAGAAAGTATGATTGGGTAACACATATTATGGAGGACCTATGGAAAGAAATGGCTGACTTTGTGAAGCTGTATGACAAGGTAATGATGGGCAAGGGAGTAGTACCGTTGGTGCCTGCATATACTTGCTTTTGATATGAGTATTTTGTTTCTTACTTTGCAATACTTTATTGGCAATATGCACAATGTAACTGGTGATGATATGTGGTGTTGTAGTTTTTTTTCGGTGAGCATTTTAACCTTATCCAAGGTTTACCGTGAGGCTCCACCAGTGTTATCCAATACTGGACAGATAAGAAGATCAAAGAATTGGCAAGTACTGAGAGGAAGAGAGTTAGGGAGCTTTTGTATGGTAAGAAAGGGAGTCATGTTGTGTCTAGCAAAAACAAGAGGATAAATGTTGACTCTCTAAACCCGGTATATATATCTTTGGTAGAGTGATATTTTTAGTGAAGTGAACTTCTTGTTTCTTATAGTTATGCTGTCCTTTGATAAACTGAACTTGGTATAAATAAAACTTACGTTGTGATTGAGTTAAGTGAACTTGTCATTTGTTATAGTTGACATTGTTACTTGATAAACTTAACCTGTTAAAAAAGGAACCAAAGTTGTGATTGGATAATGTGAACTTGTCATTCGTTAAAGTTTAGATTTGGGTTGTTATTTGATAAACTTGTTATTGATTATACCTGAGTTGTGATGGGGTCAAGTGAACCTGTCATTTATTACAAGTAGTTGTTATTTGATGTACCGAAGTTGCTAATTATAATTCATCAGTTGTGATTGGCTAAGTTGAACTAGTCATTTGATATAGTAAAGTTGTTATTTGACATGCCGAAGTTGTTATTTATACTACTAATGAACTTGTTATTCGCAATAGTGACAGGTTGTTATTTGTTATAGTGTAGTAAGCTTGTAATTTCATATACTCAAGTTGTTAGTGATGATAGTTAACTTGTCATTGGGTAAAGTGAGATTTTCATCTACAATAGTGAGATCATTATGTGGTATAATTATGTTGCTAGTAAATTGATAAAGGCGATTGTCATGCAGGAGATGAAGCAGTTACGTGCGCGATTAATGAAAAGGATAGAAGAACGCCATCAAAGGCTGATGAATATGGTAGATGAGGAGCTCATGAAGATGCACATTCCAAGAGAGAAAAATGGCAAGTGAAAAGGAAAGGCTCCTGCTGAGACACTTGCATCAACTGTCAATGGTTCTAAAGATGATGATGAGGAGAGACAGAACACTGGTGAGACTAGTGAAGTTGTGCAAAAGAATGATAGAGGGAGTGATGGTGAGAGTAGTGAGGAGAAGGAGAAGGAAAAAGATGATGGAAGGTGGGAGGATGAGACAAGTGAGGAGGAGGAGGAGAAGGAGGATAAGAAGAAGGGTAACGAGGGGAGTGATGATGGGACAAGTGAAGAGGAGGATAAGGAAAAGGATGATGGAGAGAATAATGGAGATAATCAGGACAAGGATGAGAGATAGAGTGCACAAAAGGATCATGGGGACATTGTAGGCAATGTTGATGGGGATGGTGATGAAATGGAAGAAGGGAAGAGTGAAGACAGGGGTAATAGAACTGGTGGTAACAAGGACAATGATGAAATGGAGGCTAACATACTTATGCCTAGTACCCCCATAAACCTGTCATCCAATGTCTAAGGTGATGATATGGAGGGTGACACAACCATCACCATATCCCCTCTAGCAATTGTCAAATATGTTGACCCTGTTCAGAGCCAAACCCCCATCATAGAGGAACCTGTGACAGCAGCTGAAGGTGTGCAGGCACAACAAGTAAGGAGATCTACTGGGGTTTGCTTCAACAAAATTAAGCCTCTTTGGTTAGAGTTGAAGGCACAGACAAGGTTGAAAAGGCCTGCAGAGGATAAAGATGTTTTCTTCACCATTGTCAGTCGAAGTGTGAAAGGTGATGAAAGCGACTAGTAAGTATTGTGATGCTCAGCTTTTCTCATGGTGTTTTGTTATCACATGTTCACATAACCCATATGCTAACTCACTTCAACCATTGTCAGTCCTTTGATTAAAATATATGATGAAGACAGCACCCGACGCTTGCTACATTCTCTTGGGGGAAATAACAGAGTTAGTAACAAGGTCATGTCATTAGTTTGTAAGGCTGTGGTGGACAAGTAACAAGCGATGGAAGGGCGAGTAAGGCATATTTTTTATGCGGACTTCATGGTGAGGTTTCTTTATTAGTTTGTGGAATGATAAGTTTGGATAGGAAAATTACAAGTCCTCAAAGGGAAATGACAAGTGTAGTATGTAAAGTAACAACACTATATAGGCAAATAACTATTTAAAGAAACTAATTGCAAACTGACAATATCAATTTGTGTTCTTTATCAGGAGCTAATGATCCACGACCTAGCTTGGTGGGACCCTAACTATCATGCATGACAAATAATTTCTCACTTTATCGGGTACAACATAAGTGACTGTGACTTGGTTATGGGTCCTACACTTCTTGGTGAGTATTGGTTTTGCTTTACCCTTGAACCCAACACCATGAAGTTCTATGTCCTGGATTTCATGTGATGAACTGTTCAGCCTAAGAAGACCACAACTAAGAAGAAGCAGGCAGTCACCTATGACCCTCAAGATATGGCCATAGCAGGATATGTAAGAATCACGTGGGCATATTATATTGTATTATTACTGTCTGAAATTATAGTGATGTTGATGAATATATGATATATGTGTAGAGAGAAAGGTTCCATGACATTATCCGCATGGTTAGGCTAGATTTGACTGAGAAAATACCAAACTTGGAAATTGTGCACCCTGATGTACCTCAACAAAGTAATTTGTGAGTATACATACACTGCACATGTAATTTGCTGATTTCCTATATTTATTCTGGAATTGTTAAACTGTGATGGTGGTGTTGTTCCTAGGAGGGAATGTGGGGTGCATGTTCTAATATGGCTCAGCAAATGGGAACCCAATGTTCCACTAGAATACATTGAGGTGATGTGGTTTGCTTAATTGTTGTATAACTGGTGAGGGGCCAAAGTGAGATTAACTTGTTGTTGAATATGTTTTGCAGGGAGAAGTAGCAGCTTTTTGGTGTGATCTGATGTGGTAGCTGGTGAACCAGGATAACGATGAATGCCATGAGGATGCACTAAATCTTATTCCACATCCACAAAAAGGGCGAACGTCCTAAAGAAGAAGAAAGTCCCTATAGAGAAAGAATTTGGGCCATGGAGGACATTGACTGTAAATAATGTTACTACATTATCGTTATGTGTAGTGAACTTGTTGTCTGGCCTTAACTACTACCTAGTTATGACAATTATGTAATGGTGAAATGACATTTTTATTGATATAATTTAAAGTATGTGTTCAAGTGATGCTATTTCTACTTTTCTTTAATGTATGACAACATCTATATGCCAAATAACAACTCCGGTTAAGCAATACATGAAGTTCCCCCCCTTTTTTTTTTAATGAAATGATACTATTTCCACTTTTGTTTAACATATGACAACTTCAGTACGCCTAATAACAACTCTGGTTAAGCAATACATGAACTTAATCTTTTTCCAATGAAGTGAAACTATTTCCAATATTGTTTAACAAATGACAACTTCAGTTTTCCAAATAATAACTTCCAAAGTGGAATTGGTAAAGTTCATTTTTTCCTGTTAAAATGACAATATTTCTACTTTTTTTACCTAGTGACAACTTGAATTCCCAAATAATAACTCTCGAAGTGGAATAAGTGAAGTTCATTTTTTCCTGTTAAAATGACAATATCTCCACTTTTGTTTATCCAGTGACAACTTCAGTTTGCCAAATAATAACTTCCAAAGTGGAATTGGTGAAATTCATTTTTTCCTGTTAAAATGACAATATTTCCACTTTTTTTACCTAGTGACAACTTCAGTTTGCCAAACAACTTTCGAAGTGGAATTGGTGAAGTTCATTTTTTCCTGTTAAAATGACAATATTTCACTTTTGTTTACCCAGTGACAACTTTAGTTTGCCAAATAATAACTTTCAAAATGGGATTGGTGAAGTTCATTTTTTCCTGTTAAAATGACAATATTTCCACTTTTGTTTACCTAGTGACAACTTCAGTTTGCCAAACAACTTTCGAAGTGGAATTGGTGAAGTTCATTTTTTTCCTGTTAAAATGACAATATTTTCACTTTTGTTTACCCAGTGACAACTTTAGTTTGCCAAATAATAACTTTCAAAATGGGATTGGTGAAGTTCATTTTTTTTCTTGTTAAAATGACAATATTTCCACTTTTGTTTATCCAGTGACAACTTTAGTTTGCCAAATAATAACTTCTAAAGTGGAACTAGTGAAATTTAATTTTTTCCTATTAAAATGACAATATTTTCACTTTTGTTTATCCCAGTGACAACTTTAATTTGCCAAATAACAACTTCCAAAGCGGAATTAGTGAAGTTTATTTTTTCCTGTTAAAATGACAATATTTCCACTTTTTTTACCCAGTGACAACTTCAGTTTGCCAAATAACAACTTCCGAAGTGGAATTAGTGAAATTTATTTTTTCCTGTTAAAATGACAATATTTTCACTTTTGTTTACCTAGTGACAACTTCAGTTTGCCAAATAGCAACTTTCAAAGTGGAATTGGTGAAGTTCATTTTTTCCTGTTAAAATGATAATATTTCTACTTTTATTTACCTAGTGACAACTTTAGTTTCCCAAATAACAAGTTTGGTTAACCAATTGGCAACATCACTATGTCAAATAACTACAATGCATAGGTGGTTTGACAGCAACCTGAATTTGCTGACATAACAAGTAAGCAGTCTGCATTTACAATACAACCAAAGGAATTTATAACAATACCAAGTCAATTAACCACAATGCACAGGTGGTTTGACGGCTACCTGAATTCGCTGACGTAACAAGTAAGTAGTCTACCCTTATAATACAATCAAGGGAATTTATAACAATACTATGGCCAGTAACCAAAAATCATAGTTGTTTGACAACAACCTGACTTTGCTGACACAGAAGTAACCAGTCTGTATTTATAATACAACCAAGGAAATTTACAGCAACACAATGTCATTTAACAAAAATCAGAGGTCCGTTAACAACAACCATATTTTGCAATAGTCAGTAACAAAAGGACATTAACAACATCTATAGATTTCATATTCCCTTATCACGAAACATATATTGATGCAAAAATAGCTGTGTAGCTATGCAAATCTAGCAACACCCTTCTCCCAAAAGAATTAAGAAGGGTGGAGTATATATACACCAAAAAATTAGTTGTCCCTTGTAGAAATTAACTTCAAGATGGGTTGGGATTTTTGCAAGTCCTCCTTGTGTGTCCAGGTTAGTGACATCTAGTTCAATGGTAGACTTTTTTTGTTCTGGAATTGTGGTTCCTGCCACTTAGTCCTTGATCTTCCAGGAGGTCTACTTGTGTTTGGTGGTAAAAGCAGGGTTTGTTTAGCAAGATTCACAAACATATACTCATTTGGGTTAGGCATATCGATTGTTGCCACTGGAATCATGCTCCTTCCATATATTTTCTCTTGTGCTGAAATTTTGTAATAGTCTTTAACATATTCATATACATTTCCCCCCATAGTCTTAATGGCTGCACAAGCATGGCAGTATGGAATTCCTGACATTTGCCAACCAAGACAACTACATTGGTGTAGACCAAGGTCTACTCTTTGATCTCCATGAGATGTATGTACACACAGTCTTCCGCCTCCATAATTGTCACAGCTCATATACCTACTAAAATACACATTCTCCAGAATCTTTGCCTCGGTTTTTGGCCTAACACAATTCCTCTACTTAGTCATTAACGTATATGATGCATACATCTTCCTTGCTACTTTCTCCCAATGCTCATAAATCATTTGGGCCACATTATGCTTTCTCTCCTTCACTATCCAAGCATTGAAAGACTCAGCTATATTGGTTGTTATATTGTCCCATATTTGAAATGGGAACTTGCTTATTGCCCACCTATTCACATCACCTTGATTGATAACCCAATCATGTAACTTAGGAGACATAGTTCTCAGCTCTGCCATTGCATTATCAAAGTCACTGTCAGCCCTTGCATAAGCTACAGTATCAAGAACCTTTAATGCATCTTCTTTTGACCATTGGCTTGTACTTTTACCTCTGTTTACTTTCACTTGTTCAGCGCTGAATTTTTTCTTCATATACCTATAACAATACGCATGTCCACCCCCAAATATTGCTTGGACAACTCCTATTATGGATTGTGTCGGTCTGACACAATCGTCACCTGAACCAAACCAACAATTTCCTTAATTTTGAACAAAAACCAAGTCTAGTCATCAAGATTCTCTGATTTCACCACTGCTATTGCAAAAGGCAACAAGTCATTATCTACATCATATCCCGACGCTGAGACTAGTGTCCCCTTATATAGACCACTTAAATGAGTTCCATCTACATATAATATAGCCCTTACACCACTCAAAAAACCCTCAATACACGAACCATATGCAATGAAAACTCGCTCAAATGTATTACCAATTACAACCCATTCATCAACGATTTTATCATTAGTTTCCTTCAATCTTTGGCATATCCATGGTATGAACAAATAGGATTCTTCCGGTTTCCTATGTATGTGTTCCATGGCCTTTTCTTTTGCTCTGTAAGCCTGAGTATATGTTAGCCTCACACCATACTCCCTTTCCAGTGTCTTCCTTATTTCAGTGGGATGCTTTTCGATTTGGTTTCTTATCTCCTCAAGTATTATTGATGACATCAATGCAGCATTGCTAGCATAAGTGACATCTAGATTATCTTGTGCTAAATGAATGTGTTCATTAACGAATGTGATCACGCATAATAAAAGAGTATCCCTCCCAACAGTATTTGCACAAATCTTCCATGGACACCCTTCCACTTTACACCTCACATTCATCTTCACCCTACTGTTTCTCACATATGTCGTTGCAAACTTCTGTGCAATACTAAACCGATACATAGCCTCCCTAAAAGCTTGGGCATGTGGAATATATTGCCCCACTCCTGCAAAAACTCCAACTTATTTCATGCAATTCAAATTACCCCTGAATGTCCCTTCACTCCCTGAACTGTCACAGAAGTTTGTCTGACTTAAACCCCCTCCTTCATACTTTAGGCATTCAGCACCATAGTCAACACTGAGTGGTTCATAGTTATTATCAAGGTTCACCACACCTTCAGTCATTTCTTCTAATAGCCCAAACAAATTCTCACCCCTACACCCATAATAACAACATTCGAATAGAAATTAGCAACAACACATTAGGAAATAACAACTTCCTACTGCAATAGACTTAAGCATAATAACAACTTTTTATGCCAGATAGCAACAATTCATTACCAAATAACAACTTTCTATTGTAGCAAAGTTAGCATAATAACAAGATTTGTATGGAAAATATCAACAATTCATTACAAAATAATAACTTACTACTGCAACAGACTAAGCAATATAACAACATTTGAATGGAAATTAGCAACAACTCATTACCAAATTACAACTTCGAACTGCAACTTCATTACCTTAATAACAAGATTTATATACAAATTAACAATAATTTATTACCAAATAACAACTTTCTGCTACTAGGCAATACACATAATAACAACATTTCTTTGGGTATTAACAATAATCCATTACCGAATAATAACTATCAATTGCAAAACTTTAACCACTTACATTTCTCCATCATTCACTACCCCAGCTTCCTTCTAGCTCCCTTTCGCTGCTACATACAAATGAGCACTGCTATCGTTATATCTAAACATATTGCAAATATCACCTTCATGATAAAGTTCAATCAGTGTGCTCTCAGCACACTTAACCCTGTACTTAATTTCACACCCTTTTGCATCATTGTGTACCCACTGTGATATTATCCCCCTTAATTCCTCTAGTGTTATCCCTTCTTTTATGCTACCTGCTCTTACACTCCCTCCAAGATATTTAACTCACCTTGACTATTTCTTTCAAAATACCCACCAACATAGAAAAAACAAAACAATTCCTTCCAACATCTTGACCCATTGTTACAGTTCATTTTGTCATGCTAACCTAGACCAACAATTTACATGTAAAAAATATATCAGCTTGAGTATACCTTTATTCAATCAAACGAATCGTTTGCATTTAGAAATCAAGACCAACTACCTCTTCTCTTCCCCACTTGACATTAGGGTTTTACAAGTTGGACATTCTAAATGACGATCTTTATTCCTCTCCCCCCATTACACCACCTTAAACTTCACACTCAAACTAACAATCATTACCTCCTTCCATTTCCCCTCCCCCACTCTCCTATTCGTGATATTGTAAACACAAATCAGTGGTAACTTGTGTCATGAAAATCACAGGTCAACAATCTGACTATAAAGACTTATATTTTGAAGATCAACCCAACCGAAACCTCCTCAAATAATATTATTTTATGATCAACTCCACCACTCACTCCCTCCATACCTATACCCAACGACCCACAATGCCACTCACCACATTCAAGAACAACACGACATTCCTCTGTCTTAGATGGTAGAGAAGAAGAAGAGTTTACTTATAAATATTGGAAATATTACTTACTTGATTATCAACCTTGTGCACCACCAAGCTTCTCCTTTAAGCTCTCCACGATCACATTGTTTGTCTCAGCCATCATTAATGAAGTTGATTTACTAAGGGGTAATTTCATCTTTTTACTAACATTTGCTATTTGCAATTTGACACCAGATGCCTCATGATAATTTGGCTTATTGAAGTGACCATATTGCAATTTTACTAATTTGAGAGTATTTATTTGTGATTTTCTCCAAAAAAAAAAAAGGCGAAAAAGTGAAGAAATAAATAAATTCCCCCAGACTGCTGTTGGAAATTGCAACGGCGGACATGTATACAATGGATAAATACGAGCAGCCAAACATATTCAGAGACAAACATCGCGTGAAATTCAATCCCGAAGCCAAACTGTGGCGTACACAGCTTCTCTACACTTCTCTTCTCCGAATCAAATATTCCACCACACAGTTTCTAATTCTTCATCGTTATCATCATTATCTCTGTCTCTTTCTCATTTTTATTTGGAATTCTTTCTTCTATTTCAAGCTACTATGTGATTTGGTGGTTGAGGCATTGTATTTGTACTGTACCAATTTGAAGTTGCCAAATGTCTAGTGGACAAGAATTCTTACCTACTTTGCATTTCAAACTACTCAACATCTGAACTTCCTGTTACGTCGGCTTTTGCCAGTGGTCATCATGAAATGGGACGTTATCTTTATTCTCAAACTCCATTGGAATACCTCCAACCCCGCTATTTTGGTTATCGTCTTGGTCCTACTCTGCTTCGTCGTTGTTTGGAAACACAATGTTTCGCTATGTGGTATCTATAATATAATAACTACCCATTAATAACTTCATATCAAATAAAAGGAATTTAGCTAAAACTAGTTAATGCTTTTAAATTTTCTAAATTATCTCAATTAGAGTGGGTTGTTTAGTTGATCAAACCAAAAGGGTCTTACACTAATAAGAGGGTGTTATAATTATTGTTTCCGCATTCAGTGTATATTATTTATTGTGTGAATATGATATCGCTCACCACTTGCTTAGCCAATGCTAAGAATTGCTTTTTGCGTATGATAATGAGGGTTGGATGCCAATTCACAGCATCGCATCCATGACTTCTACAATTCCTAGCCCAACTGAACTTGTCTTCTGGAAATGATGGATTTATGATTGTCAGTATCTCTTCTCAAATATTTCTAGTAACTGCATTTTCTTTCTTATCATACTATTATATTTACTCTTTTTTTTTCATTGGTTTGTATTATATGCTCTACTTTGTTAGATATAGATACAAATTCAACCCCAAGTTTCGAAAGTGCTTCTTTACCCATCCAAAATGAAGGTGAAGACACAGGGGAAAGAAAACAGGGGAAACTAACATGGCCAGGTAGCAAAATATGTCTTTTTCTCTTCTTTGGATGGTCAACGTCATCTTTAATTAAAATTCTTATAGAAAAAGACATGAAACAAAAACCTTGTTTGAACCTTTTCCTTTATATAAGCTGAGCTTTCCTTTAATTTCTTCCTTTTTTTGTTTTTTCTTTTAAAGTTGCAGCAGGACATCGTTGGCTTCGATGGCTCATCTTCTCTACTTATAATTTTATAGGTAGGTGTATCATCTAACTAACATATCATGCTTCCAAGAATTACATACTATTCTAAAGTTTTTTATTATTAGATAGGCCCGTATATTGTATGCAGCATTATTTATGACGCATAAATATCATAACTTGTTATAAATTTTATATTTGATATTGACGATTATTATTGAATTTATTGATATATTGATATATACTGGTATCGATTCTCATCAACTCAGCTAAACAAAAAAAGAGTACGTCTCATTGTAGGAATTAAGAAAATAAAAGAGATGAAACTACAGCAAGCACAAGCAAATGAACTTGTCGATCTAGTTTGTAGGAATGCAAGCAAAAAAGATGATGTGCAACCTATAGCAGATGCGTTATTTCTGGCAGTGAAAGAAGGGAATGTTGAGTTTGTGGTTAAAATATCAAAAGCAAATCCTGAAATCTTGCTCAGGGTGGACAACTCATATCAAAACATTTTCTACCATGCCATTGAGCATCGACAAGCTAGGGTTTTAACCTTATCCATGGGCTTCACTTCAAGGATGCCTTTGCTAGTAGCAAAGATGAAGATGGAAATACTTTGCTGCATGCGGCAGCTGCACAGGCTCCTGACACCATTCTTAATCGCGTTACAAATGCAAAGAGAGCTACAATGGTTCAAGGTTAGTTTTGAAATTCTCATGAGAAATAGCTTATTGATCATATGAAATTTCACATCAGTGCTTTTTAAATATCAAATTGGTAATTATATCAGTGAAATTACTGATTAGTTTAAGGTTCACTGAAACAAAAACACATGTATTAATTTTCCTTTTTTTTTTAATTTCTGTCGTCCTCTAAAACGTTCAATTGATTATATATTTACTCCTCCGGTCTTAAATATAAGACCCATTTTGTGGTACAAATTGTACGACAAAATACATCTTATATTAAAGACCGGGGGAGTATATCTGTGGATGGTGTTTGATTTTGCTTAGAATGTGAAATACAAAGCCTTTGTCGGCCTTTAAATATGAATTAACACCATTCGGAATAAATGCAGGAGGTTGAGAGGATAATGCCTCCAAGCTTTAGGGTACTTCAAAACAATGGAGGTATGACAGCTGAAGAATCATTTAGACAGAATCACAGAGAATTAATGAAGCAGGGAGAAAAATGGATAAAAGCTACTGCATCTTCTTATTCTCTTGTTGGCATCTTAATTGTCACTATCACATTTGCTGTAGTTTTTACTCTTCCAGGAGGAAACGATCAAAATTCTGGACTCCCATTATTCGTAAAACAACCGAGTTTTAATGTTTTTATACTCTCAACCATAGTATCCCTCATCTCTTCCTCAACTTCCGTTCTGATGTTTCTGGCCATCCTTACGTCTCCCTTTTCAGAAGAAGCATTCCTCAATTTCTTACCTTCAAAGTTGCTTTTCGATGTTTCTACACTTCTTATCTCCATGGTGGCTATGATCATCACATTTCTCTCTGCCATTCATCTCACGCTGAAGCACTCAAACTATCATGGGACTATCCTTCCCATTATTTTATTCACAAGTGTTCCCATCTCTTATTCCCTCTTGTCACTAATTCCTGTTGTTCGTAGTACTGCCTTTTCTGCTTATAGGACTGTCTTTAATAGGAAAGTGGGATCGTGGCCATGAAATGTACATGTAACACGATCTTCAATAAGAAAGGAAGCTGTGGCTGTTGCAGATATTATTATGACTTGAAATATTATTTGTGCTCTTGGGAATGTTCGAAGCGTCATTTATTAAATATATGTCTAGAGAATATTTCTTCTGATGAGAAGAAAATAGATGTACAGAGGCTTCATTTCAGCTTGTTGGAAGCCCAAGATAACCCTGTAATGATGTAACAGCAGCAGTTCAACTTTCGATATTTATGTCCTAAACCTGTAGCTTCAATATAAGCCCGAGGGGCTGAACATAATGGAATTAAGGACCAAGTTGAGACCCACTTGTTCGTGATTATTTCATTTGCCAGATTGCTTGGAAGGGTAGAGGCGTAAAGTGTAATTACATGT